TTAGAAGCTACAAAAGTAAACTCTGAATCCTTTTTCCATTCCCGGCCCAGTTGGTTCTTTCTGCAGCTCAGGTATGCTTCTCACAATTTAGGATTGAACAGTTAATCATTCTATCAGTACTCCTGGACTAGCAGACAGTGTGGACAGGGGAAGAACCTAATTAAGGTGTTGAAAGAGAATACCAGTAATGTGAGAGAGATTCAAGGGCAAAGACCAGATGAAAAGACTAATTATAGCTTCTATTTCTTCTTCCTTCTTTACCCTCTCCTCTTATAGAGGTCATTCGGGGTTAGGCCACTCCTCTCCTCTATCTACACTCCCTTGCAGCATTCTCTTCCAGCTCCTTGTCACTCATCTACGTCACCCTTGGGCTGATGACTCCCAGATTTGTATCTCCCACCCAACCTTGCTCCTAACTCCAGAGTTATTATCTAACAGGCAGAATAGACTCTGCAGTCAGATGCTGGGTTAGAAATCCCAGCTCTGTGACTTACAACCTCTATGACCCTGAGCAAGTTGTTTAAGCTCTCTCTACTTCTGTCTCCTCGTTTAGCATTGAGTGAGTGATCATTTATTTATAGGCACTTAAAGTAGTGACTGGTGTGTTGTAGTACTACTCACTGAAGAGTTTGCTATCATTGTCGCTGTTGTTATTTTTCCTGAAATCTCCATTCTGAATATGCAGTAGACACCTCAGATTTAACACAAAACAAAGTTTTGACTTTCTTCTTTGCCTTTGTCATGTCAATAATTGACACCAGCATAATTTGCCCAGTTGCTCGGGCTAAAAACTTAGATGTCGTCTTTGATTCTTTGTGTGTGTGTGTGTGTGTGTGTGTGTGTGTGTGTGTGCTTTCATCCCCCACTTCCAATCCATCACCATCCTATCTTGAAAATATATCTCACCTTTGTCCAGTTCTCTCCATCTGTTCTGCCATCCTCCGTCACAGGGTAGTCATATTTCCTGTGGACTACAGAGTGTCCCAGCTGACCTCCTGCTCTACCCTGGCCCTAATGCAGTCTAGACTCTCCAGAGGCATTATTGTCATGGCATTGTACCCTCTGCCTACTTAAAACTTTTGAGTAGCTGGTTGGAAAATACAATCCACATTCCTTGCCGTGACTTATGGGACAGTGCATGATCAGATTTCTTACCACTGTCCTCTTGCTCCAACTTTCTATTTCTACATCAGCCTTCTTTCAGCTCCTTGAACATACTAAGCTTGTCAACTTCTTAGGCCTTTGCTCTCCCCTCTACCCAGACATCTATGCTCCAAGATATTTATATAGCTGCTGCCCTCACGTCAGTCAGATCCTCGCTCAAACACGACCTCCTCAGGGGCACAATCAAAAGTAACCACATGATAGAAAGTCACTTTCTATCATATCATTGTTTTTCATATCCCGTTTTTATTCATAATTATTTTTTATCCCCTTCCCAGCGCCAGTGCAGACATTTAAGCTCTGTGAGAGCAAGGTCTTTGTTAGTCTAAACTACCCACTCTTGTCTAAACAGGTTCTTGAACAGTGCCTGCAATATAGTTTAATAAAAGTTTACTGAATGAACGTTAAATAACGTAGTGAACAATTTTGGAGGTAGGCAGCACAGGTAGTATTTTATATATTTTAACACATAAGGGATGAGAGCGCACACCTTTCGTTACTTACTCATATTCACAAAACCAGTCAGTAGGAGCAGCAGCAGGACTTGAACTGAAATTCTTGTATGCTGCTTCATTTTCCAGTACGTAAGAAGAGTGTCTAGTAGAACATGGCTAAGGTGTCTTTGGAATTCTTTTCCATTTCAGGTTTCAGTAGAGGGTCTAAAAAGGTACCAAACCAAAAAAAACAAACCCATTGCTATCGAGTCGATTCCAACTCATAGTGACCTATAGGACAGAGTAGAACTGCCCCATAGGGTTTCCACGGAGTGACCAGTGGATTTGAACTGCTGACCTTTTGGTAGCAGTCATAGCTTACTCTAGCTCTTAACCACTGTGCCCCTAAAAAGGTACAGCTTGAAGATAATAGTGTAAAAGCTTTCTAGTGGCGCAATAGATTTGTGCTTAAATAATAATAATAGTAAAAAAAAAAAAAAAAAAGCCAAACAAACCTATTGCTGTCAAGTGGATTCTGACTCATAGCGACCCCGTAGGACAGAGTAGAATTGTCCCATAGGGTTTCCAAGGAGCAGCTGGTAGATTCAAACTGTCCACCTTTTGGTTAGCAGCTGAGCTCTTAAAGACTCTGAAAAGCTTCCAACCCTAGGGCTCTATGAAGAACTGTATCTCCTACTACAGGGTGTGTCTGACATGTGACTTGGCCTAGCCCAGGGCCCTATGGTACAGTGTTAAGAATACAGGAAGCAAACTGGTGGCTGTGGGTGTGAGTGATATACTGTACACAGCTGGTGCATTCTGGACCTGTGCAGAATTTGAAGAGGAAACAGCCATAGTCCCTCCCTTCCCAGAGCTCACAATCCAGTGGTCATTGGATTCGACCATTTGCAAATAACTAAAGAAGGCAGAATTTTAAATGTTATAATAAAAAAATTTGGAAAGGAATGTCCAGAAAACAGTACCAAAACTAAAGAGATAGAAAAATAAATAATGAAACATTTTAATGCTGTTTAACTGAGGAGGGTTTTGTTTTAGGTATTTCAGAGGGATCTTGGTAATTGTTTTATTACCATAAGGGTGGAAACTAGGGAGCAGAGAATTTATTTTTCTGTGTGCTAAGTATTGGAACAGGTTATAAAGAAGAGTATGTGGTTATAGGGCTTACACATTTATGTATCTGTGGGAAATGAGAATGAGGCAGACAAGATATGTTCCAACTTTGATGCTTTTGATATTAAGTAAACATTAGAAACTCAAAGAAACCTGTGGTATTTCCCTGTGCTGTTAAAATCACAGCATGATTTCTGATGGCCCTTTGCCTGTGGACCAGTTCTTCTTGAGGGTTTACAGAAGTAATGACATAAGCTCTGTGTGTGTGTGTGTGTGTGTGTAATTTCAGAGCTTACACTGAGGCAGCTGTTCAAATGTTGCCTTTATTTGAGTTTTTTTGAATAGATAGTACTTTCACGTGTTTTAAACATCAAAAAGTATATAAGGATATGCAGTATAAAATCTCCCCTATCCCTGTCCCTAAGCCCTTAGTTCTCCTGCGCCCTAACTGGCCCTGATTTCTTATTTATCCTGCCAGAGAACTTGCATGCTCTACAAGGTGCTATATATATTATGTATATTATTTGTTAAGGAGCCTTGGTGGTTCTCCTTTTTAAGGGAAGTCATAATAATATAGACATATTCTTCTGTTCCCTATTCCTCCCCCTACCCCCTCCCCCCACAGAAAAATGTACTTCAGAGATCTTTTCACTCACCAGGAGCTTAGTTTTTCATTTTACAGCTGCACGGCATTCTTCTGTTTCATGCGTGTTTTGTAATTATTTAATCAGGCCCGTATTGATTATCTACTTGTCTTAGTCATCTAGTGCTGCTATAACAGAAATACCACAAGTGGATGGCTTTAAAAAAGAGAGATTTATTCCCTCGCAGTTCAGTAGGCTACAAGTCCAAATTCAGGATGTCAGCTCCAGGCGAAGGCTTTCTGTCTCTGTTGGCTCTGGAGGAAGGTGCTTATCATCAGTCTTCCCTTGGTCTGGGAGCATCTCAGCGCAGGAACCTCAAGGTCCAAAGGATGCGCTCTGTTCCCGGTGCTGCTTTCTTGGTGGTATGAGGTTCCCATGTCTCTCTGCTTGTTTCTTTTTTATATTTCAAAAGAGATTGGCACCACTTAAAAAAGTTCTTTTGAGTTCTAAACCCTTATTACTCCATAAGTGGACCATGTTTATGTTCAGGTATTTTTACATTAAAGTGATCTTTTCCCTCAGCTTTTTTGTAGCTGACCTCTCCTTACTTTAGTTCTTCACTCAGGTGTCACCTCCTCAGGGAGGCCCTTCCTGACCCCTGCTCTAAAGATCTGGTTGGGGACTTAGGCTCTTAATTGTAGCAAGCCCTGGTTTTCATGCTCTGTATAGTAGCTTCACCTTGGGGTGTTGTTTTGTTTGCTAGTTTGTTTATCCTCTTCTCCCCAGTCAAATTCTTTGGGCCCAGAGAATGATCTTCTTTGCTCTCTGCACTGTCCTCAGTACCTAGAAGGTTATGCTTGACATAGCATATAAGTGCCCTAAATCTTTGTTAGATGGAAGTCAGGGTTTTTATACTGTCAAAAAAAAAAAAAAAAAATCCAGACTTTGATAGGGAGAAGCTTTATTCAGGAAGGAAAGAAGAAGTGGGAGAGGGACTATTATAGTAGTGGGGGAGGGGAACTACTACAATAGGGAGAACACTCAGACCTTAAGATCTTGAGGCATCTCAAAGAGACAGGGAAGATCTGTTTTTGTTTTATATAGACTGACGATAGTAAACAAAGATAGAAAAAAAACGAAGTGTGGGAAAGTGGGATGAGTGGTGGTATCATCAGATTGTAAATCAGAAGGTTTTACACTGAGGTCAGCCCATTCTCCAGGAGGGACTCTTAAAAAGGGGTCTTGTGTTAGCTGAGGCTGAAACTGAGGGTGGGCCAAAAAGTTCAGGGACCTGGGGGAAGCTTGACCGAAGTTTGGTTAACAAGCACTTAGTTTCTGACTACCAAGTAACTGAATTGCCTGGCATTGGATTCATCATTTATGAGGCAAGGAATGGGAATTTGGAGGGTCTGTGTCTGACCTTGTCATAGGTGAACAAGGGGCATCTGTGAGTTTTATCTAAGTCTATGGGAAGGGAGATTATTTGCAGCAAGCTATTTTCCTGAATACATAGGGTAAGGGAATTTATTTAACCATCGCTGTTTTCTAGTATCAGAGAGCTCAGGTAGAATTCAATATTAACAATACTGTTTATGTTTTTTAACATTCGCAGAGGAATTCACATTTTGTCCTGTGAAGACATGAGTGATGTGTAATGTTTTACTTTTCCTGTCTGTTTCCTGTTTAGCCCCGTGTGCTGTCAGGAACCTACAGGACTTGGCTCGCATTTACATCCGCCGCACACTTAGAAATTTCATCAATGACGAGATGCAGGCCAAGGGTCTTCCTACCAGAGCTCCCCCGAAAAGAAAAAGAAAGAGAGTTAAACAGAGAATTAACACGTATGTGTTTGTGGGTAATCAGCTCATTCCACAGCCTCTAGACAGTGAGGAGGATGAAAAAATGGAAGAAGATAACAAACAAGAGGAGGAGAAAGATCACAGGGAAGCCATGAAGCCAGAAGAGCCTCCTCAAAATCTGCTGAGAGAAAAAATCATGAAGTTGCCTCTCCCTGAATCTTTAAAAGCTTACTTGACATATTTTAGAGAAAAATAACTTAGGCCAAGAGGAGGGAATGCCTCCTAGTTCTCTAGTCTTGAAAATGTAGCATTTGTTAGGAGTTAAAAGAGAGTATTTCTTTCATCAGAGCAAACTATAGTGGAAAAAAAGTATAACTTGTTTTGTCTTAGTAACAAAAATGATGTATTTGGTGATTAAGAAGAATCCCTTTTATAAAGTCTATTTTTCTTTAAATCTTGGGAAAATACTGTTTTAACTCAGTGATTTCAAAGTGGAATGCAATAGTCAAGACTTTGTGTACTGTAAATCTTTTTCTGATTCCCTACAGATTTGTAGTGGTGAGGGTTAAATTTAATTTTATATAAGATTAAATGATTGTTAAGCATACATAATCTGATTTGACTTATAGTTGTTTGCATTTCCTCTAGCAAAACTTTCTTATCTAATAAGGAAATCAAACGCTTTGTAGACCTATTTACCTTAAATTTGTTGCAGTCACTATTGCTGAGTTGCTATAGATATATTCAGGGCAATATATGAGTGCAATAACAATACAGATATTGAATAATTTAGCTTTAAAAAAAAATTTCATGGAATTCAACAGCCCTGCTACTTTTGCTTTTGAACCTGTTGCCAAAAGATACGGGGAAAATAACTGCTTCTCTCATAGAGATTCTAAGAGCACATCAAGTGAATATTAAAATGAAAAGTACATACTTAATATAGCTCTTAATTTGTATGGACTTAGCATTTTCAGTATTTATAAATAATGAAATTATCTTACTCTCTGGAGTTTTGAAAGATAGTCTATTTAGGATTGTTTTTCTGTAGTCTACTGTGTAAAGTGTTTAGTTGAAGCACCGTCGTTCTGTGTTACTCTCTTATAGGCACAGACCGGGAGTGGGCAGCTCTAAGTAGCAGGGCCCAGTGCATTTGTTCAGCAGATACACTTTAGCAAATGCAACTTCTGTTTCATCTGAATATTTATCTTTGACAAGGTAGGGCTGAGCAGGCTACCATTTGCTTTGGTATTCTTCTTTCTAGTATAAGAAATAGTCACAGGAATTGTTTGTAGGTGTCTTTTGGTTTGAAAATCAGCTTAGAATCATAGTGTAATCTTTGGGATCTACACTGGGCTCATTTAACTTCTTTCCATGCTTTCTTAAGTTTCTTTCGGTAAGATTATAATGGTTTTCATTTTTTGCTTAATATCACATACTTAAATTGTCCATCATTTGAATTTTAGTTGTAGCTTTTCAATAACAAAACAGGTAGTAAATGCTATTATTAGTTTCCTTTTTTTTTTTTTTTTCTGGGTAGGGCCTGAAAACAGTCATTACTTGTGAAGAAAGTGTACACTGTAACACATTTACTACTTAGAGTTACATGGATTATATATGTTTTAAAAGGAAAAATATGAGAATATCACTTACTACCACCAGCATCGTTGTTACAATGCTTGATCACATTTGCTTAAGGAAACCCAATCAATAGTGAAAGGATTATTATCTCTGCAAAATTCAAATATTGGCAATGCTTGGGTGATTTTAAAGCTCTCAACTGTAGTAATTCCACACATATAAAAACAAATATTTGAAGTATTCTAAGCATCAGCTCTTCCAAGTAAATGAGGATATTTAAGTAATGTGAAAAATTAATTCATGGAAGGTATTTGTTTTGTAACAATGCTGAGGGGTGGGAAATCTCCACAGATCTTTTAGATGACTAATAAGCTATTATTGTTAAGAAATGTCCCATCTTATTTCTATCGAGAAAAGAAAAGAAAGTAATTTAGTTTGTTTCACTTTATTCTAACAGTGGTCGTCTGTTAGAGACGTTCATTTTATTTTAATTTATAAGTTTGTTTTAGAAGTTTAATCTTGAATTCCTGTTGCCCACGTATGTTTGTCTAGAAAACCTGGGGACTTCACATCTTAACTGCCCACCCCCCCCATTTTTTTTGTGTTGCAACGGGTGTCCAGATATGTAAAGTATATATTCTTAAATGATGACTTTACTATTTAGGAGAGAGTTTTTGTTAAGGATGTATTTGAAGATTGACTTTTTCATATCATCTTTCATTCTGTTGACCTTGGCAAAATGTACAGTAGATATTAATGATCATTGCATATTTTTTGTCATTGAAATGTATCTTGTGTTTTCACCTGCATTCATTTTACAGTTGTGACTTTATTATTGACTTTAAATAAAGAGGTAGAAATGAAAATTCAAGTGAAAGCCCTTTTATATATTAGTGGGACATAGAAAAACTATTTTGGGCCTGTGTTTAATTTTTAATGATTCCATGTTTACTTGAGCATGGGAAATTATGCTTTATAGGTAGAGAAATGGCAAATAAAGATGAAGTAAAGTTAAGTTAAAATTATGGGAAATAAAGTTTTGGATTTTACAGCCAGGTAGAACAATAGAAATCACCTAATCCAGGCCTTTATTTTGCAGATGAGAAGGTAGGCCTAGAGAATTACATGGTATGCCCAAGTCATACAGCTAGTTGGGGACAGGACCTGCAGCAGCAGCTGAGTCCCAAAGATCCGTCAGCGGCACTATAGCTACTAACAAGAAGGTAATTTCAGTTAGTCTGCTTATTGGTCGAGGTTTTTGGTCATAGTATTAATAAAGAAAAAAACATATATTCAGGTTAAAATAAAATACAAAAAGTGTTAATTGTTGCTTTCTGCTGTCTGAATTGATAAAAGTTTAGCAAGGCCTGCTATATCATGGAAAGCTTTGGAAAATTATATTAAATAAACAGTTGCATGCAATTAAGCATCATTCTCTAATGACCTGGCTTTTTCTTTTCTTCTTCTTTTTTTTTTAATTTAGGTAGTCTCAATACACCTATGGGTATATCCTGAATTTAGGTATATGGTCTGTATTTGGACATCTCACTTCCTTTTCATATTAACACTTCTGAACTGTGTTAGTTTTTTTTAAATTATTAAGTACTAAGTAGATATGAAAGAATATTTATAAACTTTATGAAAAGTACAAAGAATAAGAAGGCTGTGTACATGTAGGTACATGAATGTAGGTACAGCATTACCTCGACCTGTGTGCCTGTTCCCAAACTCATCTTAATCCCTCCCTTCTCAGGATAACCCTTTTGTGTTCATTATTACCTTACTTTTTGCTGTATGTATTTTTTTGTCTCTGAGAAGTATGTCATTTGGTTTTATACTTGTTTAACTTTGTATAAGTAGGATCTTACTGTGTGCATTCTTCTGCAATTCTGTTTTTCATTCCACATTACCTTTCAGAGATTGAGCCATGTTATATAGGTTACCTTTACTGAGTGAATACATAACACTTTAGTCATTCTGTGATGTGCATTTGTTCCTTCAGACTGGTCAGTTGTGGACATTCTCCCACCTGTGTCACGGATATACCTGTACCGGATCTTCCTAGATCGTGTATGTAGTAGTAGAATTACTGAGTCGTAAAATATGTTTATATTTAACTTTCCTAGATGGTACAGAACTGTTTCCCAAAATTGTGTAACAATGTATGTTCCTTCCAGCAGTGTTTAAATGTTCCAGTTATTCCACATCCACACCTACACTTGATATTAGTGATTTTTGCCAATTTGGGAGTGTGAAATGATATAGGGACGTTGTTACTTATTAAGCAGGTTTTTCAAATCTTTTCCAGTGTTTACTGATTTTTGGTTTCTTTTGTGTAAACTTCCCATTCAAGTCATTTGTAAATTTTTCATTGGGTAGTTTCTTTCTAAAAATTGATTATGTAGTTCTGGATTTTAATCCATTATCAATTATGTGTGTTGCAAATATCTTTTCTCAGTTTGCGGTTTCCATTGTTCTTTTTATGGTGTTTTTCATGTTTTCATTTTTATTGTGTTAAGTTCATCTTCTTTCACCCCCTCAATTCCAAGGTCATGAAAATATTGTCTATATTTTATTCCAAAAGCCCTATTATTTTTGCCTTTCACGTTTAGGTCTGAAATACACCTTAAATTGATCTTTGTCTATGGTGAGAAATAGTGGGCCAGTTTCTTTCTTTTTTTTCCTCCCCTTTGTTGATAATCAGTTGGTCCAGCACCATTTTCTAAGAAGTTCCCTTTTCTTCCTCTGATCTGTCATATATTAAGTTTTCATATGTTTGTGGCTGTGTGTCTAGGCTTTCTTTTCTATTTTATTAGTCAAGTTTGTATCCCTATGCTAACAACATACCGTTTTACTCATTGTACATTTACAGCAATTCTTCATCTTGATCTGGTAAGACAGGTCCCTTTGATTTATATTTCAGAAGTTTCTTGACTCTTCTTGGACTTTTAGACTTTCACAGAAATTTTAGAGTCAGCTTAGTCAGCTTCTCAGCTTATACACACACACATACACAAATTCTTCTGGGATTTCCTTTGGAATCACATTGAACTTACAAATCAGTTGTGGGAGAATTGACGTATATTTATTGTAGATATTTTACGTTTTTCAATGCTTCTATATTCTGTTTTTTGAAATTTTTCTTTTGGTTTTTGTACATTGTTTAAATCTAACACTATTTTTTGATTCTTTTGGGTTTTCTACATAAACAATCATATCTTTAAATAAAGACAGTTTTATTTCCTACTTTGGGTTTTATTATTTTGCCAAATGTGCTGGTTGAAGCTTCCAACACAATGCTGAATAGAAGTAATGGAAGCAAACAGACTTTCTTATTTTTTGTTTTATTACCCTTATATGGTCATTTTTTAAAATAAATGGCCTGGCATGCTTGAAAAAATATATATATGTATAGTGGTTGTTCAGTGTAACATTCTACAAATATCAGTTGAATAAAGTTTCTTTTTTTAATAGACTTTATTATTTTTTAGAGCAGTTTTGGTTTACAAAAAATTGTACAAAAAATAGAGCTTTCATATGTCCCCACTTCCCCCCACACACAGTGTCTCCTATTGTTAGCATCTTACATTTATGTGGTGCATTCATTACAGTTGAACCAATATTGATAACATTATTATTAACTCAAGTCCATAGCTTACGTTAGGGTTCACTTTTTGTGTTGTACAGTCCTATGGGTTTTGACAAATTGTGTCCACCATTATCGTATCATACAGAATATTTCCACTGCCCCCAAAATGCCCTGTTCTCCATCTATTCATCCCTCCCTCACCCCCCTTACCCTTGGAAACCTCTCATATTTTCACCACCTTTATGATTTTGCCTTTTGCAGAATGTCATATAGTTGGAATGATACAGTATGTAGTTTTTCCAGACTAGTTTCTTTCACTTAAAAGTATGTGTTTAGGGTTCCTCCATGCCTTTTTGTGACTTAATAGCTCATTTCTTTTTAATAATACTCCATTGTTTGGATGTACCACAGTTTGTTTATTCATTCACCTATTGAAAGACATCTTGGTTGCTTCCAGTTTTTGGCAGTTATAAGTAAAGCTGCTATAAACATTCATGTACAAGTTTTTATATAGACATGTTTTCAACTAATTTGGGTAAATATTAAAGAGTGTAAGTGCTGGATCATATGTTAAGTTTATGTTTAGCTTTGTAAGAAATGCTAGACTGTCTTCCAGAGTGGCTGTACCATGTTGCATTCTCACCAGTAATGAATGAGAATATCTGTTACTCCACATCCTCTCTGGCCTTTGATATTGTCATTGTTTTGGAATTTAGCCATGCTAATAGGCGTGTAGTAGTATTTCATTGTTGTTTTGATTTGAAATTCCCTAATGACGTAGGATGTTGAGCATTTTTTCACATGCTTATTTGCCATCTGTATGTTGTCTTTGGTATGGTGCCTGGTCAGATCTTGTGCCCATTGTGTAATTGGGTTGTTTTCTTATTGTTGACTTTTAGGAGTTCTTTGTATATTCTGAATACAAGTCCTTTATCAGACAGGTGTTTTACAATATTTTCTCGCAGTTGGCTGTACTGTGAGGACCTATTTCTGGTTTCTGTTCTGTTCCACGGATCTGTTTGTCTGTTTCTTCGCCACTAGCACACTATCTCAATCAATAAGTCTTGAAGTCAGAGAGTGTCACTCCTCCAACTCTGTTCTTCAGTACTGTGGTGACTATTCTGGATCTTCTGACTTTCCATATAATTTAAAGTCAGTTTGTTGATATCCACAAAATCACTTGCTGGGGTTTTAATTGGGATTGTGTTGAATTTATAGATAAAATTGGGATAATAGAATTAACATCTCAATTATATTGAGTCTTCTTACTTTACTTATGAACATGGAATATTTCTTCATTTTCTTAAATCTTTTTTAATTTCTTTCATCAGAATTTTGTAGTTTTCCTCACTTAGGTCTTGTATGGACTTTGTTAGATTTGTACCTAAGTATTTATTTTATATTTTAGTGCTAGTGTAAATAATGTGTTTTTAATTTCAAATTCCAGTTGTTCATGTCTGGTATATAAGAAAGCAGTTGACTTAACCTTGCATATATTATGTACAAGCCCTGGTGGCAGAGTGGTTAAGCAAGGCTACTAACCAAAAGGCTGGCAGTTCAAATCCACCAGCCACTCCTTGGAACCCTATGGGGCAGTTCTACTCTGTCCTATAGGGTCACTATTAGTTGAATCGACTCAACGTCAATGAGTTTGGTTTTGGTTTTTGTATATATTGTGTATTAACCTGTAACCTGGCTATAATTGCTCATTAGTTTGTTTTAGGCTGGGTTGGTGGCACAGTGGTTAAGTGCTCGGCTGCTAACTGAAAGGCCTGCGGTTTGAGCCCACCAGCTGCTCTGCAGGAGGTAAAATCTGACAGTCTGCTTCCATAAAGATTACAGCTTTGAAAACTCGATAGGGCATTTCTACTCTGTCCTGTAGGGTTGCTATGAGTTGGAATCGACTCGATGGCAATGGGTGTCTCTAGAGGAGCAAAACCAGTGAAGCGTATATATAAATATATATAAACCAAAAAAAAAAAAAAAATTGAACCTGTTGCTGTTGAGTTGATTATGACTCATAGTGACCCTGTAGGACAGAGTAGAACTGCCCCATAGGGTTTCCAGGGAGTGGTTGGGGGATTTGAACTGCAGACCTTTTTGTTAGCAGCTGAGTTCTTAACCACTGCAGTACCAAGGCTCCATAAATATATATAGAGAGATTTATTTCAAGGAAATGGCTCACGAAATTGTGGAGGCTGACAAGTCCCAAATCCATGGGTCAGAGGGCAGGCTGAGAGCTTATCTTGATTCACTTGGTTGCAGGGGCTGACAAACCCAAAATTTGCAGGTCAGGTAGCAGGCTGCTGGCTCATGGGGTTATGGAAGCTGGCAAATCCAAAATTTACATGTCACGTGGCAGGCTGCTGGCTCACAGGGTTGCGGGAGTTGGTGAATCCAAAATCTGCAGGTCAAACAGCAGACTAAAGGCTTCTCGCATCCCAAGAACCAGAAGCTGGATGACGAGATGTATCCAGGATTGAGAAAGAGAGAGAGCTAATTTTGACAAAACATCCATTTATATGCTGGATGCAGGCCACGCTTCCAAGGAAACGCCCCTTCCAACTGATTGACTGCTCACATCAGATCACAAAATGAAAGATGATTACATAGTGTCTGCCAGACCACTGAGAATCATAGCCTAGCCAAGTTGACACATAACATAAACCATCACATAGTTTCAGGGGTTTTTATGTGGGGTTTTTTTTTTTTTTTTGGATTTTCTATAAAGACAATCATATCTATGAACATTTTATTTATTTATTCCTAATCTGTATACTTTTTATTCCCTTTTCTTGTCTAATTTCATTAGCAAGGACTTCCAGTAAGATATTGAACAGGAATGGTTAGAAGAGGCATCTTTGTCTTGTTCCCAATCTTAGGGGGAAAGCATCTTGTTTCTCACTATTAGTTAGGTATGATGTTAGCTGTAGTTCTTGTTTAGCTGCCTTATTTTATTTTTTAATACCAAGTTGAAGAAGTTTCCCTTCATTTTCAGTTTGGTGAGATGGTGAGAGTTTTCATCATGAAAGGGTGCTGGATTTTGTCAAATGTTTTTCTGCATCTGTTGATATGATCATATGATTTTTTTTCTTCAGCCTATTATGATAAATTACATCGATTGGTTTGTGAATGTTGAACCAGCTTTGCGTATCTGGGATAAATGCCACTGGGTTGTGGTATGTATATTACATATTTATACATTGTTGGATTCAGTTTGCTAATATTTGTTGAGGATTTTTACAACTATGTTCATGAGATGTATTGGTCTGTCATTTTCCTTCCTATTAATGTCCTTCCCTATTTCAGTATTAGGATAATGCTGGCCTCATAGAAGGAGCTGGAAAGTGTTCCCTCCTCTTCTATTTTTTGGAAGAGTTTGAGAAGGATACATGTTAATTTTTCTTTGAATGTTTGGTAGAATTCACTAGTGAAAACATCTGGACCTGGTGCTTTCTGTTATTAATTGCTGATTTGAATCAAGTTTTCTAATTGTGTTACTCAAATCCAATATAGCCTAACGGAGGAGGGGGGATTGCCTATATTATGTATCAGTTGCTGAGAGATATTTGGCAACATCTCTTATGGAATTGTCAGTTTCTTGTAGTTTGTTTAATTTTTGCTTTATATATTTTGATACTGTAATACTACATGTGTACACTGTAGAATTGCTGTATCTGAACCTCTAACATTATGTAGCCACCCTCTTTATCTTTAGTAATGTTCTTTGCTTCAGAGTATGTTCTGATTTTCACACAGTAGTTTTCTTTTGGTTAGTACTGACAGTCTTCGATTTTTACTTGAAGCATTCCATCCATTTATATTAATTTTGAAGAGTCCTGGTGGTGCTGTGGTTAAGCACTCGGCTGCTAACAGGTTGGAGGTTTGAACCCACCAGCCACTTCATGGGAGAAAATACCTGATGATCTGCTCCCGTAAAGATTTCAGCCTAGGAAACAACTGTGGAGCTGTGATAGATAATGTTATGTGTCAACTTGGGTAGGCCATGATTCTCAGTAGTTTGGCAGATATTACGTAATCATCCTCTGATTCGTGATCTGATATGAGCAGCTACTCAGTTGGAAGGGGAGTTTCCTTGGGGTGCAGTCTACGTCCAATATATATGGATGTTTTGGGAAAGCTCACTGTCTTTGTTGATCTTGCATCCATGTCATCATCTGACCTCTGGTTCTTGGGACGTGAACCAGCAGCCTGCCACCTGACCTGCACGTTTTGTATTCACCAGCTCCCACAACCCTGTTAGCTACCAGCCTGCTGCCTGACCTGCAGATTTTGGATTTGTCAGCCCCTGCAACCACATGAGTCAGGAAAAGCCTCCAGCCTGCTGCCTGACCCATGGATTTGAGACTTGCCAGCCTCCATAACTGCGAATCATTTCCTTACAGTAAATGTCCTTCTATATGTATTTATGTATGTGCTTCACTGGTTTTGCTCCTCTAGAGAACCCAGCATAAGACGTTCGGTACTGAGAGTGGTTTTAGAGGAGCAAAATCTTAAGGATGAGTTTTCTGAGTTCTCAAGTCTGGCTTATCATGGACGACTCTGTCTCCAGTTGTAAAGAGGGCACTGCTATTCCATGGTGTGAGGTGGCAATAGAAACACACAAAATATCACCACCATTGGATCAAATATTTGTTAGAGACAAGGCTATGGGTGATTGCATTTTTGATACTTTTCTACGATTTTGTTATACTGAGAAGTATAAGCAAGCTGGTTGGTTGGTCCTACTTTCACTAGATAAGTGGTGAAAGAAAGGGATGAGCTCAGAGCTTCTAAGTCACAGCTCAAGCTTCACCACATAAAAGACCTGAAAGTTGCCGCTTGTGCCCTGAAAGAAAGCCTTATTTCTTATCGTCACAGAGCTGATGTTTCTGAAAACCAAACCCAGAGTCTTATCCTAAAAGTGGTTGAATTATAATGCCATTTGAATTCCCAACCCCAAGTGGTGTCTGAAGTTAAAGTGAGGACATTGGGAAGAAATGGGATCGTAAAACTTGGGATGGGGACATATGGGCGGATATCAGGAAGCTGGAGACATTGAGCCCTTAAATTCCATTGAATCACTCCCATCTGAAGAGGTTACTCCAGCTTTGTCTGCTAAACCACCCTTCCCAGTAAACCATTATCCCTTCCACCCCCATCTGATGA